TATTTGTCAACTGATTGGAATCTCCCCCTCTGATACACAAACCCATTATTCCTCTTGATTCCAAATATGTTTTTCTTCTTGACTTGCATGTGACATTTCCTTCCCCCAGAAAAGATCAGAGTTTCACAGAGAGCCAATCTGCCTCACATGTGTTTGAGAAGCAGAGAAAAGCCCCCTGTGTTGACAAGCTTTGCCACATTACTACTCCAAATGCTGTCTGTCTCAGCAAACAAAAGCTCTGGAGGGAAGCCAAGAGCCCCAGCGTTGAAACCTCAGACTGGCCCACGTGTTCCTGCACATGAAGGATTCCAGTCTGTGGAAGGGATTATTAAGTGGAGAAAACAAATTACTTTCTCTCTGTGGGTCATTGTTTAACATTCAAGATGGGGGTTCCAATGGGTCTACTGGGAGATCAGGGGCCCATCTGTTCTTTGCACAGCAACTGTGATGTGTTGAGACACACACCACAGTCATAATTCAGAACAGTGAAGCAGCTGTTCTGCCAGCCTTGCAGCCCCCTTCCACCAGGGTTGGGATGGAGCCCGGGTAGCTTGTGTGCGGCCATGTGGAGTGAACAGCTAGCGTCACTCATTAAGTTGGAAGGAGATTCATAACAATCAGGGAAAAAAAGACATCAATACTTGGGAAGAACAACAGCTAAGTGTGTCTCTAAAATTGGTTTTTACCATACTTTTTCAATGACTTTTAAAGCTTGTGATAAATGAGTAGTTATAGCTTAATGGGTAGAGAGTTTCAGTTTGGGAAAATGAAAAAGTTCTGCAGATGCTTGTAAAAGATACCAATGTATTTAATGCCACGGAACTACTGTACACTTAAAAATGATTAAATCGCAAATTTTGTATTAGGTATACTTTACCACAATTCCTTAAAATGCTTGTCATAGAAACCTTCTTTGTGTAAGTAGGGTCTGACAATGTCAGAATCTAGTGCGATAAGTTTTTGAAAGATTAAAGAACATTGGAGATTTTAATAATCTGGGCTAATTCCTTATATAGTTACAGACTAGTTGGGTAGTATCGTTACATGTCTAATATCAACTACCAAAATTCTTACAAGACAGGGAATTGAATTAGACTGCTATTAAATTTTAGCTATATAACTAACACGTTAAATATATAGTTTTGATTTTCTTTTGTCTGAGAGCACAGTTTTATAAATAAATGTCATTTGGTATTTTAAAGCATCATTGATATTTCTATCATATAAGAGGGAGTGTTCTTAGAAATAAAAAAGACTTCCACCTTTACTTAGTAGCATGTTGAAAGAGAATTTAATTGCCAGAAATATGAGAGATATACTGGAACACTAAACTGTACCACAAAAGAAACTGATGGTGTATCTTTCTCTGGAAATTATTAAGAAAATGATTAATAGCCACTTTTCTAGGATGTAGTTGTGGGGAGGGGAGAAGGAGGGCTGGGTGATTTTTAATCTATTCACTGGTGGACTCTGAGCTGGGAAATGTTACAATGGAAGGCATTTTCTCACTAAACTAGATAGTTATCTATTGATTTATTTATTCTACTACCTTTTGGCCACAAAATTTCTGTGAATGCCAGGGCAACTAAAACAATTGTTTAAAAAGAATTCTGACAGTATGACATCATATAAATATAAATAAATGTGCAATAGCCAATAAAACCCTGGGAACTTTGTTACGACTCATCTTTATTGTCTTGTAAAGAAATAGCATCTGTGTCAGATTTCTGCCAGGATAGAGCTACTCAAGTAGATGGTGGCAGAAAATGGAAAGACAAATCCTGTGGAGTCCATTCCATCTTGATGCAAGTCAAGATCATCTGTCACAATATCCCATTATTATTTTATTAGATAAGGAGCCAAGTGATGGGGCTAGAACTTTATTTTTTGGTCTTTGTTGTTGTTTTACTAGAATGACTTATTCTACTAGATGACCGACTTAAACATTGGAAATGTTTCCTGACATTAGTCATACAAGTACCATCTTCATGATATTATTTTTGCTTATCCACATATTACCAGTGCTATTATTCAGTTAATATGTTTCTTTAAATAGATTCTTCCTTTATTACTTAAATATATTTATTCAAATAGGAAATTTATAGCATGAAAACAGAAAATAAGCTATAAATCTGTGAAATAATGGTTTTGATGTATTGGTTATATATTTTTTCTTTTACATGGATATTACTATCAAATTAAAAACATATTCATCTGCCACTTGAGTATTCAGCTGTACCACTTGAGTTACCCAGTGGTAGTTTGGAAAACATTGGTTTAAGGTCTACCAAACCATCTGGTTTCTATTAAGTCATTTTACTT